AGAGCAGGTAATTTCTAAAATCAATTTACTCTATTTTCTTGTTCTCAATTTTTTTATTAAGTTTCCTAGCTTATTGATTGAAGAATAGTCCAGTTTTTAATCATCATTTTCATTTGTTTTTCTTTTGGGTGCTGATAGCGAAATTAAGAAAATCTTATATAGAAAGCATAATGTTGACAAATAAGACAATATTTAATTATTATGTTGTGAAGTGGTATGGGGGCATAAATAATTTATGTAAATTTTAATTTAATTTTTTTCATTGTTACTTTATCAGTTACTTCTACAATACTTGAAATTTTTTGTTAAAGGAGAATTGCAAGAACAATGATTTCTTTTGTTGTTGAAAACCATTAGAGACTATAAATAAAATACTAAAAATGAAAAAAACAAAAAACAAAAAAACTCCATCACATTAATTACAAATATGTGGTGTGATAATCTTCTTTAAAATGCCCAATCAACGGAGTTGGACCTATGCATGTTTTGTGAATTATGGATACATACTTCATAATTTTTGCAACTGTATTAATTTGAGTAGGGATGGGAGAATGTGCATATGCATGTTTTTTTGTACTTAAGCTAATTACAGTAATGGACTCTGATGACAAAGGATTACAGATTAAGGTATTCTATGATGAGTTTAAATAGCTATCTATAATATAACGTTGAGTACCCTTACTTAAAATAGATGTATATAACGTTGAGTATCCTTACTTAAAATTACAATTGTATATATTCATCATAATGAATTTGTATTTCTTGTATAAATTTCAAATACATCAACAAAACAATCTTCACGTGGATAATTATGAAACTTCAACAACTCAAAAAAAAAATTATAAACGCATTTTAGTAATCGAGTTTAAATATTGGGCACAAGTTTTCGCGCAAAGCGCGTAGAAAAAACTAGTGTATATTTGAAAAAACTAGTGTATATATATATATATATATATATATATATATATATATATATATATATATATATATAAGTATCTAATGTATGGTAGTTATATAATAAGTTATTTTAATTATTTTCAGTGTACAAATGATAAAACTTAAGAAAATAGCAAACTAACAAATTAAGGACGACTAAGACTATGTAGTCTAATGGTACTTGGGTTGGATTTTTATTTGGAAGGTTGTGAGTTTGAACCTCAATAGAGGCATTATTGATTTTTTGTGTTTCAGTAGAGGAAAAAAGAGTAGTGTGGTTAAACCAATCGTTATGCTGTGGAATAGTGTCCACCTTACAAGGTGGACACGGTTCTATGTTTATAATTACTGAACTATATGTTCATAATTATAAAGCTATATATTCATACTTTTTTAACTTCATATTCATAATCATTGAACTCTATATTCACAATTACAGAACTCTATGTTCATAATTACTGAACTATATGTTCATAATTATAAAGATATATATTCATAATTTTTGAACTTCATATTCACAATTATTGAATCTCTATATTCATAATTACAGAACTATATGTTCATAATTATGTTCACAATTCTATGTTCACAATTCTATGTTCATAATTATAAAACTATATGTTCATAATTTTGAACTATATATTCATAATTATAAGGGAAAATGGTCAAATAAGCCTTTAAACTTTCAGCCAGGAGTCAATTAAGCCCCTAAACATTCAAAAGTTACAATTACATACATGAACTTTTAATTTTAGTGCATGAAGACCCAATTACCGGGAAATCACCTGCAACTCCCAGTAAAATCCTCCTTGGATGCTGACTGGGCACCATCTTCCTTGCCACTCAACCAAAAAAAAAAAAAAAACAGTGATACCCAGACCTCTAGTTGCGGGGCTCAATCTCTCACCATCAATCCCCTTTTTTCGCATTCTCTCGAACCCTCTTGGAATCTCTTTTTTCTTATGTTCTTTGGAGAAAATATATTCTTTATCGGCGCCCCTCAGAACCCAAACAAAGTTATGCTCGCTCCTCTCCAAACCGGTGGCGATTTCTCGAATTTGTTCGTTGGAGAACGAGGTGGTGGTTCCGAATGAAACGAATATGACAGTTTTTTTGTTTGGTTGTCTAGCTAAGCTTGAATTTTGTAGCGCTGTTGGTAGAATGGTGGGTGCTTTTGGAGGCACCATTAATGACGTGGACAAGGTTGAAAGCTCCAAGGGCCTATTGTTTCTTCTTCCCACTAATTTCTTCTCTGGAAAAGAAATTCAAGAAAAGGGCCTTCCAGTGCTCTGCATGTGTTGTAAATTCTGCCAGAATTGAATTTCAAGAAATCGTATTGACCTTTGAGGAAACACTCGAACTCAGGGCTGAAACTTCCTTTGAGGGAAGGGGGATCTCTGAGGATGTCGGCGTCAACGGCGAAGGGCTTGCCCATCTTTTCCGTCTTTATCTACAATAATTCTCTGTTTTGCCAAATTTTGGAATTAAGTTACTTCATAATTGAAAACCACTAATAACTCAAATTCTGGTGGACAGAGATCTGCTACACCGCTTGCACAGAGTCACAATTTTGTGCACTCGGATGATTATTTAGTTTTGGAAGATGAGAGTGGAAGAGTCAAACTGAGTGGCAGTTTGTTATTGCCTTCGACATATGTAACAGGTTTGCATTATTAGTTGCTACACGATCTTTTCCCAAATGAAGAAGAAAATAGTGAAGGCGGAGGCGCTGGGGAATCGACGCCGTGTTTTCGTTTCGTTTATTATTTATTTTACTTTTGTTTCAGTTTTTTTTGGTTGACTGGCAAGTCAAATTGTTAAAGATGGTGTCCAGTCAGCATTCATGAAGGATTTTACCGGGAGGTATAGGTGGTTTTCCGGTAATTGGGTCTCCATGCACTAAAATTAAAAGTTCGTGTATGTAATTGCAACTTTTGAAAGTTTAAGTGCTTAATTGACTTCTCGTGGAAAGTTTGAGGGCCTATTTGACCCTTTTCCCTAATTATAAACAATTTTGAGTGGATATGGTTCCACAGCATAATTTGCCAAGAAAACCAACTAAGCGAACCCAAGCAACTCAAATAAATTAAACCCAAAAAATGAGATAAATTTGCTAAGCCCAATTCAAAGAAAATCTGATACCTCATTTGCGGCAAATTATACCATGGACCAGGGTCTACTTTACATTGTGAATCTTAGTACAAAAATAATTTTTAGATTATGTACTTGTAGTTAACACATTCTGTGCTAGCAATTAACAATTTCTATACTTGTAAATAAATTGAAGATATATCACATGATAATTATAGACACATAATATAATGATTACAAACACAAACTCTTAACTGCAGGTTCAAAATATGCTAACTGCAGACACATAATATGTTAGTTAATTAACATATGTTGTGTTTACAATTAACATATTTTATACCTACAATTAATAATTTATGTGTGTGTAGTTATTTTGTTATGTGTCTGTAATTGTCATGTAATTTGCCTTCAATTTGTTTCTTGTTGCGCAACAACGAGAAATAATTGTGATGTACCAAAAATTGCTAATGGAGAAATACCAATGCTAATGTGAATAAGTGTCCATCCATTATTCCATTCCACTTTCGGACAAATAGAAATTGATGCATTTCTTGTAGTGTTATGATTGAATAGTGATTTTAGTTTATATATCAGCTTGTATAGTTCATAAAATATTAATGCTATTGGCGTGTTTGGTAAAATAGCTGTTAGCTGATAGTTGTTAGCTGTTAGTTGATTGTGTTAATTAGAGGGTGGCCCTGTTTGGTAAAAAATTAGTCTATAGGCCAATTTTGACTTATTTGATCAATATTAATTGTTTGATTTAGTTAAAATATCAATATAAATGTTTGGTTAATTAGCTTTTTGCAACTCCAAAAGGCTAAAATTCAAAAAGTTACTCCAAGCAACTTTTTCAATTAGCTTTTTGAGAAAAGAAATTATACCAAACAGCTATTAGCTAACAGCTAATTTACCAAACACTTTTCTACAATCAGCTAATGTTATCAACTATTTATACCCTCTAACACAATCAGCTAACAGCTATCAGTTAACAACCATTTTACCAAACAGGGCCGGTATAAATAGTTGATAACATTGGCTGATTGTAGAAAAGTGTTTGGTAAATTAACTGTTAGTTGATAGCTGTTTGGCATGATTTCTTTTCTCAAAAAGCTAATTGAAAAAGTTGCTTGGAGTAGCTTTTTGAATTTTAGCCTTTTGGAATTACAAAAAGCTAATTAACCAAACATTTATATTGATATTTTAACTAAATAAAACAATTAATAGTGATCAAATAAGCCAAAATTGGCCTATAAGCCAATAAATTGTGATTTTTGTACTTTTAGTTCCTAAATTATGATTGAAAAATGATTTTGGACACCCATTAGTATTGCAGAAGGATTGCAATCATAATGTGTTTAAAACTTAAAAGTCCAATTGCTAATAAATTATAATTCGTATATGAAAAAAAAAAAAAACCAATCATTATTGTGCGAACCATATTTGGTATATTGTAAAATAATGTATTTAGTACAAAAATAATTTATTTTTAATATATTAAAAATGTACATTGTATTCATGGAATGTACCTAGCTTATTTGTGTACTGAGCGTATATTATATTATATAATGTACATTCAGTACAAAAATAATGTACATTTAGTATATTAAAAATATACTTTTTATTATGGTCCACACAATAATTTGTCCAAAAAAAACTGCATTTTACCTGAACGAAAAGCAAGAATAATTAAAAAAAAAAAAAAAAAGTAATGATATTCATCTCCCAAAAGGTTGAGTTCCCAACTCAAGAGCTCCCAAAAAGTAATGAGATTCTAAATCAAGTAATTGTCCCAAAAAGTAATGATATTCTAAGCCAAGTAATTGTGGGTTGATCATGTCTTCCCTATAAAAAGGAGAAACCACTGATTGGTTGCTCTTAGGAACCACAAACAGTCTAATTAATCGCTCCTTGATACCCTTTATAATAATATAATACCCGGCCTCTTCTTCCACCACAGGCAAATTAAAACTACCAAAAATATAAAAATATAAGTAGAATAAAATAAAGTAAAAATACTCAAGATCCATGGACTCCTCGATGAAACTCTCGTTAATGATTCTGTTCTTCGTTGGATCCCTCTTCCTTCCTGGAGTTCTTGGTAATTAAATTAAATTAAATTAAATTAAATTAAATTCCTCTCTGTATAGTATTTTTCATTGCATGCATGCATATATAATTCATATTTGTGATATTCAGGTGATATTACCTGCGAGTTTCTGCCGACAAATGTTTGTTCGTTTGCGATCTCGACGTCGGGTAAGAGATGTTTGTTAGAGAACTCAGTGACGAATGAGGGGAATAAGGTGGAATACCAATGTAAGACATCGGAGGTTGTTGTGGGGAGTAGTGTTGGGGAGCATATAGAGACAGATGAGTGCGTGGAAGCATGTGGGCTTGATCGGAAATCTGTGGGTCTCTCATCGGATTCCTTGCTGGAGCCCGTCTTCACCGCCAAGCTTTGCTCCTCCTCCTGCTACCAGAACTGCCCCAACATTGTCGACCTTTACTTTAACTTAGCTGCCGGTGAAGGTAATAACACTAATTTTTTCTATTAATTCGTATATAGCTCAGTGGTCGAAAAGCGGACTACTGTCATGGAGTGCCTACTTCTCAATAAGTGAGGATCTCAATCGACTTAGGAAACAAAAAAGTAAACATTCATATCTTGCCTCACTGAACACATCCCGCGATTATCTTCTCTCACAATCTCTAGACCCCAGACTAGGATTCGGGGGTTTACCTTATTTCACAATCTCCAGAATAACACATCCGTGATTACTTTCTCTACTTTTTCTGGATAGGTGGGTCTGGGGTTTACCTTATTTCACAATCCCCAGAACACATCACGTAATTACCTTTTTCACAGGACAAGAATCCAACAATTTACCTTATTTCACAATCACCAGAGAATACAACCCGTGATTACCTTCTCTCACAATCCCCATAAATGGACAGGGGTTGACGATTTACCTTATTTCACAATACATCCCGTGATTACCTTCTCTCACAATCCCCAGAAAAACGGGAATACATTACGTGATTACATCCTCTCACAATCCCTAGAAAAAATCGACAGGGGTTGACGATTTACCTTATTTCATAATCACCAGAGAATACATCCCATGATTACCTTCTCTCACAATCCCAATCCCTAGAAAAAAATGGACAGGAGTTGACGATTTACCTTATTTCATAATCACCCGGGAATACAATGATTTACCTTATTTCATAATCACCCGGGAATACATTATGTGATTACATCCTCTCACAATCCCTAGAAAAAGAAAAAATTGACAGGGGTTGACGATTTACCTTATTTCATAATCACCAAGGAATACAACGATTTACCTTGTTTTATAATCACCCGATTTACCGGAGTTGACGACTTATTTCACAATCACTAGGGAACCGTGATTACCTTCTCTCACAATCCTCAGACAAAATGAACACAGGAGTTGGCGATTTACCTTATTTCACAATCACTAGGGAATACATCTCGTGATTACCTTCTCTCACAATCCTCAGACAGAACAGGAGTGGAGTGGCGATTTACCTTATTTCACAATCACTAGGGAATACATCCCGTGTTTACCTTGATTTACCTTATTTCACAATCACTAGAGAATACATCTCGTGATTACCTTCTCTCACAATCCCCAAACAAAATAGACAGGAATTGACAATTTACCTTATTTCACAATCTCCAAAATACATCCCGCCATTACATTTTCTTACCATCCCCGGACAGGGAGTCCTGAAATTTGCCTTATTTTCTTACCATCCCCGGACAGGGAGTCCTGGGATTTGCCTTATTTTCTTACAATCCCCGGACAGGGAGTCCTGGGATTTGCCTTATCTCACAATCTCGGGATGAGGGGCCCCCAGGTTTAAACCTATATTTATTATTATTATTATTATTATTATTATTATTATTATTATTAACGTAGTGTTTTTTGTTTGGTTGAATATATAGGAGTGTACTTGCCAGATCTTTGTGACAAGCAAAGGAGCCACAACCGACGTGACCTGGTTGAGCTTAACAGCAATGGCGGCGAAAAGGCGCTGGGTCCTTCTTCCGAAGAGAGCGATGCCGCCGCTGCTCCACTGCGTAGCCCTCGCCGTGCCATGGTTGAGCTTTCTAGCGGCAGCGGTGCTTCGACACCTACCCCCGTTGATGCTGGTGATGCCCCAGCTGCCCCATCTTCTATTTAACGATGTACTCAGATAGATCAAGGAAAGAGGAGGGACTCTTGCATTAGGTCGTTCGTTCTATAATATACCAAATTTACCATTACGCAATTCATATAATATGTTAGTTTAAGATAATTTTTTTAAAATGTCAAATAAATAATTGACATATTTTTGAATGACAAAAGTAAAAATTTATTATTTCATTACTACTAAGATCATTCTTCATTAATCATTACATAAATTCCATCCTAAAATTTGAATAAAGATCCATTGACATTCAGTAGATTTGGAGAGCATATATGTGAGTTACTCTAGGGTTGGATGGCATATGATGCAAGCAAGTCCCTAGGGACTATCATTTCTCAACATACAGATAGTTGGATAGGCATTCACCTTGATTCCTTGAAAGCCACGATTAGTCTCACATTTACTCTAGGGTTCCAAAATGAGTTGTTTCAATATTTTTAACTGCTCCCCGGACATACAAATCATTCCCAATGGGCACAAATCTATGCCAGCCTAAGAGCACCATTATCAATTGGAGATATTAGAGAGTGATTAGAAAATAGAACGTCCAGTTCTTCTCCACATTAATTCTTCCCCACACTTGTTATTAACCCCACCTAATATGAAATAATCTGACATTATCCCCCATTTCTTCCCTTGATGTGGATGCTCTAAAGTTTCGCACCCCATCAAAATTTATTTACACCTTACATGGCTACACAACACTACAAAACAAATAGGTATTCTATTTAGGTATATATGCCAGTATATAATGTCGGAAAGAAAAGGTTTTTTTTTTTTTTTTTTTTTTTTTTTTTTTTTTTTTTTTTTTTTGCCTTTGTCCCACATTACTTTCAAAGTCCCTCTACTCCCACCTTATAAAGGATAGCGTATAAAATCCAAATACCGATGTAAAATTTTAAAATAAGAATGTTTTTCATATAAGGAAAAAAATGATATGACATAATATATTATTATTATTATTATTATTATAGAAATGTCTAGCCAATTTTCTCGCCTAAACTCAGGACTATTTTAGTAATATTAAACATTTGGACAAAAATATTGTTTAAAAATTAGTATTTAAATACCTTAAATAAATTATTACACTTTCCTTTTGAATTAATAATTCTCAACTATAAATACAAATTTATAATCCTTTCGAAATCATAATCCTTGGGAGCAAACATTTGACACACATCAACCAATATAATTAATTGAGATAGTTTTTTTTAATATATCTTACCTAAAAGGCTTCCTCCATTTTTTATTATACTTATCCATCCTAATATAATTTTCCTATCATATTTTAATTAATTAATATTTTTCCTAATATATCTTACCTAAATGACTTCCTCCCTTTTTTATAATACTAATCCATATGTTAAACTGTTTATTATGGTAATCTATATAGGTAATTATTATATACTATTTACGGACTAATTATTTATTTCGATTTTATCGAATCAATTAAGAAAATTAATAGTACACATATTACGGACATAATTAAAGAAAATTAAATATACACATATTACAGACATAATTAAAAGAAATTAAACATACACATATTATTTTATTAAGAATAATATATATTCCTTAATTACCATAATTATTCAGATTACATGAGCGTAATAATTAGCATAATATTAATTAAAAAATAATATATACTCCTTAATTACCATATAGTAATCATAATAAAACGACCTCAGTTTTATTTGAATTAATGATAAATTTTTCTGCTCATATAGAAAATTAAACATACACATATTACGGTGAGTAATTAAAAGAAAATAAACATACACATATTGCATCCATAATTAAAGAAAATTAAACATACACATATGACATCCATATTACCAACTTGTATTTAACACTTTAATCTTACTATGATAATTAAACATGAGATTTCTTTCATTTGATTATAGTATATTTTTATTACATAAAATAATATCAGTTCGCCATGCTCTTCGTTCTATTCTTTTGTTTAGACTTTTTCATAATATAATTTTTAAGTAATCAGTTTCAACACTAATATACAAATCTTATAATTTCAAATATTAGAATTGTTTATAATTTCATCATTAATTTTATTATTTAAATATATAATAAAAAAAATTATTCGGAGGCATTGCACGTGTAATTTACTAAGTATTATCAATGTCTCTTTTTATATTAAATATGTTTATATATATGTATTTGTTTTTCAATCATTTTCCTCTTTTTTTTTTTTTTTTTTTTTTTGTTGAAGGTTTTTTTTTCTTTTTCTTTTTTTTTTTTTTTTCTTTTTGAGTGTTGTTGCTTAGAAGTTTGGGGACCAAAGTGTACCAAGGCATTAAGTATAGGGTGTTAAAGCACAACTACATAAAAATGAAACAAAAGAGGAAAAATACCAAAGGTGAGGGAGACGATTTGCCCCCTGCCCAATCGACTGGTTGGCCTAGGCGGTTGGCAAACCTCCAGGTAGGGTTACAACTTGACCATGACAAGTTGGGTGACAAAGGGGTTTTTGGCTGATGGCTGGTGTTATTTGGCCAGTTGGTTGGCTCGTGGGCAGTTTAGCCATTGACTAAGTGGTTGGTCTAAGTACGTAGTGGGCATGTAGTATTCTTCCTGCTTCTTTGTGAGGTGTGACAAATTAGTATGAAATGTGATAGCGCACATATGTGGCTATGGTTTGTTAGACACATTGATTCATTAGTTTCTCCATAGTCTTCGCTCTATATATATATATATATATATATATATATATATATATATATATATATATATATATATATATATATATATATATATATAGGCTATTTTTCTGGTGCGAACCATTATTAACGTGTGAACTAGTGGATCGATATGGTGCATTGATGAGATGGATCGGGCGGCCCAAATTTGGATGTGCATAATGCCTCAGAACACCACACCACATGGAGTCCAAGGCCTTTTTACGTAACTTCCTATCTTTAATTTCGCGTTTGAAAAGTGGTTTGAGGGTGCGTATCCCGCTATTTTGTTGCGCAGATTACGGTTCTGGCTTCTCGTCCCTAGATCGAGGGTGGCCGGAACGTAGTATGGTGACGATGAGCGAAGCTGACGCCGGTGGATTAACAAGTTCCGTGCACTCCTAATCTTTGTGCATGTATCCCTGACTGTTTTTTGCTATTGTTTTCCGTAACTTTTCTGTCGGACTTGTGCAGAAGCCCAAGAGATGATACCAGCAGAAGAGAAGCATCATTCGGCGGCGGTGGGGTTAACCACTACCAATCAACCACTATGGACCCCCACCTTGGACCGAACTACGCTCAAATCGATCTCCGGGTTCGACGTTTGCCACAGTACCGTGAAGCGAGACAGGGAAGGGGTAATCTACCTGCGGTATTTGGTGTGCAGTCGGCAAGGGATCAAATATTTGAGTTAGCTCAAAAGATTTGGGTTAGCTAGCCATGGACCAAAGCTAAGATTACCTATGAAGTTGACTTATGCACTAACTGCGTACCCTATGAGCCATGTATAGTGATGGGACAGTGCGAAAACAAGCGCTATAAACAAGAAAGATATGTAATTTCAATACAACTAATATGAAGTACTAGGTAATGGCGCAGGTGGTGACGTTGCACGCCTCTTCTTTCCAGCATATATAGAATTACAATTATGTAATGTGAAGGCATAGGCATTACTATTCCCTTAGCGTGTGATATGTGCACCCACCCTCTTTGTTTTACCCCACGCCACTAGCTTACAACAATGGACAGTAGTATTGCCCGAATAGCAAATGATGCCTTTCCTTTTATTGTGCAGGTATAGTATGGTGTTCGTGCCATTCACGGGTGTGGCCATCATCTGCACGTCTAACTAAAAAGTTAATTGAAAGATGAAAAACTTAAGTGTTATTTTAATTAAAATGCTATGTTTTCTTATCTTTTAAGAAAAAATGTTTATTTAAACACATAATTTATTCTTTTGAAACTCGATGGATTTGAGCTCCACTATTACTAAAGAAAAATAATGACAGAACAGGTTGGGTAATTAATGAGGAAGTTATATATATTGCGTTTCTGTATCCACACATATAATTTGGCAAAGTTAGTGAGATTATATGGGACTGCAGCGTGTAGATTTGGTTTGAGTTTCCCAATGTGTGTAGTGACAGACCATGACCCAGCTATGAGAATTGCTATTGAATGAGCATTGCCAGAGTGCCGCTATCACTTCTGTATGTGACACATCATGACAAAGGTGAGTGAAAAGCTAGGGAGAGAGTTAGCTAAGGACGATGAGTTCCGCAGGAGACTAAATGCTATTGTCTGGAACGAGAGAAACAACATTGTTGAATTTGAGTCGCACTGACACCTATTAATGGATGAATACAAATTATCGAATCACCGTTGGTTTAGCAAACTATTTGCTGAAAGGGAGAGTTGGATCCCTCTTATTTTTCAGATCTGGCCATGAGTGCAACATTGTTTCAAACGTGCAGGATATGTGGTAAATACGCCCGCCATAATACTCGTAGTTGCCTTTCAAAGTAATGGTGAAACTTGTTTTTTTTTTTTTTTTTTGCTTTTCCTTTATACTTTTGGGACAATCTACTGCCTCTTTACTTTTGGGACAATCTACTGCACTTTGTGCAGTTCTGGTATAATTATGCTGGTAATGTATTTACTCCATTTAAATAACATGCGCCTATCTGAAAGTGTCCTAGACTCGAATGTATAGCTGTATTTGCCAAACAGGTATGACAAAAGTCAAACCAAACCCATCCCAAAACACAACAAAGGGAAAAAATATAATGTTTACATTCAAAATATGGTGTTTTCAAGGTGTGCATTTCGTGATCTGTAATTTCAATTTGTGCCATATTTTTAATTCCAATTCGACAATAGAACAAGCTTTATTATTTTTCATTTTAGCACAACTGTGCCCCATTGTGCATATACTAGTGGTGGGTTTAGCAAACACGCCGATGCCTGAATCCCGTATGTATTGATTGATTTCCCCGCTGCAGGCCAGTATCCCAGCTCACGCAATCCTGCCCAGTGTATGCTTCCATGTGCCGCATCGTGAAGATCCCAGAATCCGACGTAGAAGTTGTATCCCTTCACGCGATATGCATCCTTTTTGGTTTCATGTCCCATAAGTGTGCAGCGTGAGGAGTTTGGAGCTTGCAGTCC